TAATTCAAAATATAAGTCAGAAAAGAGTGTGGGTATTTTTTACCTTAATATATTAGTAGTACTGAATGCCTGTATCTTAGTTTTATCAGTCTGTAGAATAAATTCATCAATCTGCCGTCCCTACACAGGTCACAGAAATGTAATAGAAACACGTATCTTAAGGGGCAATCCTTTGTTCATGTAACATCCAAAGACTAAATAGAGAACATTTAAAAATACCCTCTTTCATGAATTTTTAACACTGATCATACAAAAATAAATAATATACAGAGAATCTGCAGTCAAATGAGTGGAGCAGTATGTAATCAATTTGTCATAATGCCATGAAACAAGTATTATCATGGAGCAGTTGGAAAAAACTCTTACAGAGCATGCCCCTTGATTTTAGAACAACGATCAGCAATTCTCCAAGTAAACAAGGAAGTTGTAAGGGTACTCCAAGCAAAAGAATTTGAGAATTATGAATAGTTCAACAGCTGGAATATTGGAATTGTGAGTTCTGCTGGCAGGAGAGAACTAGAAAGGCAGGGGCTGGCAAGATCATGGAGAATTTATTTTTCCTGCTGAGTAAAAAGTGAATCCTATAGCAAAGGGGGCCTTACCAAAGAGTAAATTTGCCTTTTAGATGGACATGCAATTCAGATTTGAGAAAAGAAATAGTAAGAACTAAATTAAACATTGCCATTGGAGATTCAGAAAAGAGTTTCGAATGTAGAGATAATAATGGCCAAGATCTGATTATATAAGTTGTGAAGTAAACAGAGATGTTAGGGATGACCCATAATCTATACTAATAAAATGATATATGCTAATTAGACCAGACGTCTTCTGGACAAAGCCATGGTAGCAGGGGCCGAGGCAGAGGTGGTTAGGGGTGATCAGGCAGGCAGGGGAGCAGTTAGGGGGCGATCAGGTTGGCAGGGAAGAGAAGTTAGGTGTGATCAGGTTGGCAGGGGAGAGCAGTTAGGGGCATCAGGCAGGCAAGCAGAGTGGTTAGGGGCAATCAGGCAGGCAGGCAGGTAAACGGTTAGGAGCCAGCAGTCCTGAATTACGAGAAGGATGCCCTGGATTGGAGAGGGTGCAGGCCGGGCTGAGGGATCCCCCTCCCCATTCATGAATTTTGTACACCAGGCCTCTAGTAGGTTATGAAAGGAAAAGTAGTGATTTTAATTTGCAGCATGTTGACTTGAGAGCTATGGGGGACACCCAAGTAAACATGTGCAGTGATGGTTAGAAATATTTTTGGAGCTCAGGAGACACTATTAGGATATGTTAGAATATTGGTGGTGCCATAAACTGTGGTCCTGCGTACTGTCAGCCAGGAAACATATATGAACTGAATAAAAATACACATGGAAGCATGAGTAACTCCAACATTTAAGGAAAAAGCAATAGGAGCCCCACAGAAGGTCAGAGGGTAAGAAAGAATATGAAGAAGAGCAGCATGTGGTGTCATGGAAAATAAGGTGGAAGAAGATACGTCAAAGAGGAGAAAACAATAGTAGCCAATGCTTCCATATTCAAGGAAAATAAGGACAAAAATATGTTAATTTTATTTAACCAATAGGAGATTATTAGTGATTTTGTTAAAGGTGTGTTCACTGGAGTGTCATAGGAAGGAATGCATGTCAAGTTTATAGGATTGACATGTAAAAAATATGACGGGATGTTTGTGCATTTAAATAAGACTTGAATTGCCTAAGATATATATTTAGCATATAAGAATTCAATAAATGTGACAAAAGGGACAGATAGAAAACTACAACACAAACGGAATAACAATTCAAGTATTTAAAAATACACATTTATAATAAAAATAACAAATATATAAGCATTTTTTCTGCTATTTTTTGGATGTAAGCTTTAGGAAAGGTATTTCAAGGTAGTTCCCCCAAGGGAAGACTTACTAAATTACACCTGAGGAAAACATCAGTGAATGTCTACCCTGCCTTTGGAAATATAGGAAACATACTAAAATTAAAGATGTAATCTAGAGATACTTATTTTTGATTCTTCAAAATAGAAATAGTGGCATTAAAGGTCATGAGATTGACCTATAATAGCACATAAATAGGAAAACAGAGCTAAAAAAAAAAGCACTGTGTGTAATATAATGTCTGTCTTACTACAAAGTAACAGAAACACAGAGATGAGTAAAATAGTCTTTGGCTTCAAGAAGCTCATAGTTGCCCAGCAGGCATGGCTCAAATGGTTGAGCATTGACCTATGAAGCAGGAGGTCATGGTTCAATTCCCAGTAAAGGCACATGCCTGGGTTGTGGGCTCCATCCCCAGTGGGGGGCATTAGTAGGTGGCCGATCAATGATTGTCTCTGATCATTGATGTTTCTCTCTCTCTCCCTTCCTCTCTGAAATCAATAAAAGATCATATGTATTTATGTTCATAGTTGAGCGGAAATAATCAAGAAGGAAATTATTGATTACCTGCTGTGTGTAAAGGCTATAAAATTTCCATATGGAATGAGAGCATAGATGAAGGGCAACAAACATGCAATAAATATATTGATTGAATGAATGACTTATATTCAGGTCTATCAGACTAAAAATTCTACTATTCCTTGATGGTGTCCCTTAAATCTTACATAGATAGTTGACAAATCCTCTGATAAGTTCATAGAGAAGACTTCTGCCTCTATTCCTACACACTTACCTTTAGTAAGTGCTTACTCTTTGGAAGGCACTGTGTTACTTTATGTGTTTTCCTTATTTAAGTTTAGTAATAATACTATACGATATGAATTATTATTTTCATTAAATTCCAAAAAATATATATTATTTCCAAATACCAAACAGAAAACTGGGAAAACAGAGAAATTATCTACTTTGTTATGGGAACCTATATCTGTCACACTTTTTACCACCTCACAGAATCTCCATTTGTTCTTTTAAAGAATAATCAGAAATAATAAAATGAATGGTTCATTAGTTATCTTCAAATTAACAGGAAAGTGGAAGCTGATGACATGAACTTAAACAGATGGTTACCATTTTACAAAAATTAAAAAATTACTACCAATATTTTTTAGCAGTCCAGCATAAAAACACAACTGATTAAATGATTATTTAATTTTTGGAAATTTACCATAGACTAATAAAATTAGAGAATTTTAAAAACTTCCATATATAATCGATGAGTATTAACAAGAAATTTTGAATGGCATTAGCTACATTTTATTATGTGAGCAATGTCATAACAATAGTGAGATATTTGTCTTTCTAAATAAATGAAAACTATTGAAAAGTGACAATTTTATAAGAGATTTTTACATCTTTCTAATAATATCCTTTATTTTTCAAATTTTATACCATGAGTATGTGTTCAATAGACTTAAAACTAGTATATACCATTTCTGTATACTTTATGATCACGGTTATCCTATCTAATAAAGAGGGAATATGCTAATTGACCCGCACACTGTCACAAAGATGGTGGCTCCCACAGCCAATAAGGAGGGAATATGCTAATTGACTGCCCTGCCCTCAAAGATGCCTGCACCCACAGCCAATAAGGAGGGAATATGCTAATTGACTTCCCAGCCCTCAAAGATGGTGGCACTCACAGACAAAACATGGCGGTGCCCAGCCCCTCAGCCCCGCCAGGGCTTTGCTGCGTGCCTGCCTCTGGAGTCCCCCAGTCTTCTCAGTCCCCCAGCCGCCCAGGGCCAGCCTGAGGTGCAGGCAAGCCTCAGATGGCGGCTCCCCAGCCATCCAGGGCCACCCGAGGCTCAGGTAACCAGGGAAGGCTGAGGTTTGCACTGCCGGCAGTGGCAGCAGCAGAAGTGTGATGGGGATGTCACCTTCCCCTGATTGCCAGATCGCCTCCCGCCCCTGAGGGCTCCTGGACTGTGAGAGGAGGCAAGCTGGCTGAGGAACCCCCCACCCCCTTTCCAGTGCATAAATTTTCATGCACCAGGTCTCTAGTCTATATGATAAAAGCCTAAGCAACCATTACAGCAAAACAACCAAAACAACCAGTCATTATGATGTGCACTGACCACCAGGGGGCAGACGCTCAATGCAGGAGCTGCCCCCTGGTGGTCAGTGCGCTCCCACAGAGGAAGCACTGCTCAGCCAGAAGCTGGGCTCATGGCTGGAGAGCACAATGGCAGTGGCAGGAGCTTCTTCCACCTCTTCAGCAGTGCTAAAGGGCAGGGAGCTGAGCAGTAAGGATCAGTGAGCAGGTGGGTGGTGGGCGGTAAGGAGAGAAGGGTCCTGGACTGTGAGAGGGATGTCTGACTGCTGGCTTACACCCGTTCCACAGAAGTGGGCCTAAGCCAGCAGGCAGACATCCCCCAAGGGCCTCCGGACTGCGAGAGGGCACAAGCTGGTCTGAGGGGACCCCCCCGACCCCCCCACCCACCCTCTCCCAGTGCACTAATTGCATGCACTGGGCCTCTAGTATAATTATATGTGTCCTCTCCCACTCTCTTGTCATCCCACATGTGCAAAGGAAAACACCTAAAAATACATATACAAAATTTTATGATATCTAAGAAAGTTAATAGGAATGTTTAACTTCTCTTATAAATTTTAAATTTCCTGAATTTTCATAAAAACATGAGTCACTGATACAGTGGTGAAAACTTTATTTTGAAAAAAATTCAGATATTGTTTTTATAAAATGAAAAAATATAATTAAATATATGAAAGCATGGTAATGAAATTAATCAAAGTACACAGTGTCTTATTAAAAGCCAGCAGTTAGGACAGAAATAACTAGGGTAAGAGTGCCAGAAGAACTGAACATAGCTTTGTTATACTAGGATATGAAACAATATAAGCAACACCTTTTGCAATATTTCCTGCTATAAAGGAAATCAGTTTTAATTGTTCCTCGGACATCTGGATATATATGGAACATTTGAGGTGCCAAGTCAACTTGATTTAAGTTAAATTATGATTAGTAAGAGAAACATTTTAATTGCTCTTTATATTTTTAAGAAGATTTATATACAAATCCATCTTGTATTTCTTCTTTCATAGTATTATTTTAAAGTCCTTTAATTGAAAATAATGGCTATATTTCAAAAAGACCATTGGATATGCTCTGGTATTGGTTCATTCTGTCATTCTCTGGGAGTTTTAACAATCACCTTTGCTTTCACACTTTCAATTTTTGCTTTAGCCTCTTGTAATCTTTCACAAGCTTTCTGAAAGGCAATCATATCATAAACAAATTTTTCTTCAGAGTGTCTTTTACAGTTTTCTCTAGCCCTAAGAGAGAAAAGTAAAGATTATGGAGTGAGGTACTTCTAAATTACTAAAATCATAACATTTAGTCAGATATTTAATGATAATTACATATATTAAAAATAGACATATACAAATAGGAAAAAAGACAGAACTTCACTTATTGCATAGAATTTTATTATAACATTCACTAAGATTTATTTTAGGCTATCATTTTTAATAGTTCTATTGGCTATAACAAAATCCATACAAACTATGGCTTAGATTCCTAAAGAGGCATCTAAACCAGATTATGACATGATTTGCAGAACTTTTGCTCAAGCCTCACTAAATCTAAACTTCCAGGAGTCTGGTTTTGTTGTTGTTGTTGTTTTTGTTTTTTTGTTTTCTTTAGCTTACTCCATTCACTTGTTTCACCCAGACCCGCAACCTTCTTCACTCTGATATCTGTCAGCCTTTTCTCTCTCAGTCTGTTTCTATTTTGTTTGTTAGTTCATTTTGTTCATTAGATTCCACATATAAGTAAAATTATATGGTACTTCTTTCTCTGACTGGCTTATTTCACCTAGCATAATGCTTTCCATCCATGATACCACAAAAAATAAGAGCTCCTTCTTTTTTATATCAGAATAGTATTCCATTGTATAGGACTCTGTTATTAACTGAACTGTGACCCCTCCATATCCATACGTTGAAGTCCTAACTCCAAGTACCTTAGAATGCAACTGTATTTGTAGAATAGGTCCTTTAAGAGGTAATTAAATTTAAATTAGGCCATATGGGTGAGCTCTAATCCAATATGAGAAGATGAAGAGACACCAAGGATGTGCACACACAGGACAAAGGCCATGTGAGGACACAAGCCAAGGAGAGAGGTCTGAGGAGTAACCAAACCTGTAAACACATTGATCTTGGACTTCCTGCCTCTAAAATTGTAAAAAATTAAACTTCTGTTTAAACCACACAGTCTGTAGTATTTTGTTATAGTAGCCCTAGCAGACTAATACAGGGTCTAAGTTAGAGAAAGATGAAGCAGGTTACACTGTCAAACCTGGAAATGTCATGGACCTTAGATTAACTCATTCACCCCTCCTCATTCATTTAAGAGTTATCCTATATTATAAAGAGGTAATATGCAACTTAACCCTCACAAGATGGCTGCCTACGACCAGGCCAGCAGGGGGGGGAAGTTGTGGGTGATTAGGCTGGTAGAGGATCAGTGAGGGGTGACTAGGCCAGCAGAGGGGCAGGTGGGGGCGACCAGGCCAGCAGGGGGAACAGTTAGAGGTAATCAGGCCGGCATGCAGAGGCAATGAGGGGTGATCAGGCCAGCAAGGGGTAGGGGGGGAGGCAGTTAGGGGCAACCAGGCAGCCAGGCAGGTGAGTGATTAGGAACCAGTGGTCCAGGATTGTGAGAGGGATCCCAGATTGGAGAGAGTGCAAGGTGGGCTGAGGGGACCCCACCCTGTGCATGAATTTCATGCATCGGGCCTCTAGTGTATTATAATGTTTGTCATATTCCCTAAATTCTATAAATATAAAGATACATATAACATGATATAACTATGAGAAGCTTATAAAAAGTGAAGAAAAATAAAGGTTTTTAAATCTAATCTAATAATAGACAAACAGGGTAATTGGTTGTACCTTCGCCACATCTCCCATTGGCTAATCAGCGAGATATGCAAATTAACTGCCAACAAAGATGGCGGTTAATTTGCATACATAGGTGCGAAGCGGAGCAGCAAAGGCGCTGAAGGCGGCTCCGAAGGCCTGGGTGCCGGGTGCTGGAGGAAAACCGGTGCTGGCAGCCAGGGGAAGGGAAGGCCTATTGCACGAATCTTTTCGTGCAACAGGCCTCTAGTATATAAATAAAATGAAAGCACTATGCAAGAAGACAGTGAAACATGGTGAAAACTGCCAGAGGAAAGATAAGACAGGCCTCAGTGCTAAAATAAAAGCACATAGGGTAGCACAGCTTGGCATCCCAGAGAAGTGGCAGCACTCTATTTGTAAGGGTCAGACAGTTCTGGTAGGAACAGTAGAGCAGATAAGCCCAGAAAAACAGACTTATATAGATCATCGTGTTCTTTATGTATGTTTAAGGGTACTCAAAATCTAGACTTGGGAAGTGAAAAAGAAGCCTAAGTCTATAAAGTCTAAAAATTAATTACCAAGTGGCTTTGGACAAGTTCTTCACATTCCCTCTGCCTAATTTTCTTCATCTTCAAAGGGGAATAATCCAACTCAGAATTCAGTAAAGGACTAAATGAATTAACACATTTAAAATCCTTAGAGGAGTGCCTGAAATTTAATCATTGCTTTTACTGGGTAGATAACAGTGGCATTCATCAGGACAGAAAATATAGAACAACTAGATAAGGAAGAAGATTAGGGTTCTGTTTTTTGTAAAATTGGGTCTAAAAAGCCTGGCTATCCATGTGGCGATGAGAAGAGAGTTACACAGAGAGAAGCAATGGCTTATGGTTAAGAGTACAGGAAGTGAAGCCATTCTGCTTGGGTTAGAATCCCAGATCTACAACTTATTGATTGTGCGGTTTCTGAAAAGTTATTTTAAGTTCTGTCTGCACCATTTTCTTCATCTTTAAGAAGGGACAATTCATCTCAATGGATTTAGTAAGAAGTAAATGACTTAATACATTGAAAATCTTTAGAGGAATTCCTAGAATTTAACGACCACTCATTGAAAATCAGCTATAACTATTGTGTCTGGGGCTTGGATAATAGTCTTGTCTGGACATGTAGCTGAGCAAAAGTCATGGCAAAAGTGACTTTGCACCTGTAATTAAGTCTAAAAAATGTATTGAAATAGCCATCCTACAGATAATAATTATAAACTGTGGAAAAAATGTTTTTTAAAAAACCCAACTATTTAAAATAATTGAAGAGAAACACAATGATTGATTATAATTAGATAGTATACCAGGATCAAATAATTGGAAAATAAAATTATGAAATTAATTCCATTTTACAATACCATAAAAATCCTATAAAATACTTGGACTCAAGCTTAATAAAAATATGAAAGGCCTGTCTTTGAGGAATATATGTGGTGAAAGTAAAGGAAGAGTTAAAAAAATAAAAGATCTTAGGCATCAATAAGTATGCAAGAGTTTCAAATTTAAGAGATAAAGCAGTTCCAAGTGATGAGAGGGGTTTTGTTATGTCTTTGGAAATGAGTTTAAAGGTTTTGGGGGTTCAAGAGTATTTAGGTTAAGAAATTGAGAGGGTTGTTCTTATGAATTTGGAAGTGAACTGTAATTATAGAAGTTGGATGAAGGAAAGCTTTATAAATCAAGATAAGACCACAGTTAATGAAGAGGGTAGTGGAGTAGGTCAATTGATGACCAAAATAAGAACAAGCAGAGATGATGTAATTGGATAACTGCCTTATCTGCCACAAATTCTTGCTGGTTGATACTCAACTTCACAGTAGACACCCTGCTGCCCTGAGCAGTGTCATAACTTTTTCAAAGTATGGACAAGAATATTTTGGAGAACTATTGTACCTGGTACATAAGGTTTTTTAATTTCAAAGTCTCTTTTTAATTCATTCTTAAATGTCCCTGTGGGTATTTTGTAAATTTTCTAAACTAGAGATTTATGGTTCCCCTTTCTTCTTTCATGTTCCCTCACTCAACAGCAAGAATAGGGAGATACTGTCTCAGTAATGACTTCACTAGTTATTGAGATTTGTCAGAATGCTTTTATGTCAAGTATTTGAACCGGAAAGAAAATGAAAAAGAATTGAAAATTGAAGTCTCTAAACAGACAACGTTTTTGAGTCTCAGCTCCTTTCTACATGTTGATACTCCAACTTTATTTGAAAATGTTCATAAATAAAACTCAATAATACCTTTCAGGACAACACTGTATTGTCTTATTCTTGTGTGCTTTCAAAGGTAATATCTTTGAAGGAGTTTATAAGAGAAGATAATTCAGTTAAGATACATTAGGAAGCTCTTAACTCTGCATCCTCTACAAAGTAATGATGGCCAGACATTCAATTTGCTGTGGTAAACTAAGCTGATTATGTTCTTCTAATACTGATTTGTATTTTGATATGCCACAAAATCTGAGGATAAAGTTGTTTTATTGTCTCATCTTTGGTAATATATTAGGACATACTTGTCATTTTTGGTTGTTTCTGCTTTCCAAAGTAGAATATATCATGTTATAAAGTACTGTTTGTTAGATCTCAACATTTAGTACGCAGTATTCACATTAAATTTATTTAAACACTTATATCAAAACTGTACCTACCTAAGTTCCTTCATGTATTTACGTAAATCCTTTTGAAGTCTTTCTGTTTCTCGTTTTTCCTGAACTATCAGATGTTTCTCTTTTAAGAGATCATTGTTCTTCTTCAATAGCCTCATTTTATTTACACTTCTGTCCCAAATAATAAGCTCATTATTTAAGTTTTGAATTAATAAACGGTCTCTAGCTTTTTGGTTTTTTTCTTCTAGAAACAAAGCTCTCCTCTCTCTAACTTTTTCCAGGTAGTTGGATCTGACCTGCCAGAGTTGGGACAAACCATCCTGAATTGCCCTGCTACTTTCAGCCATTTGCTTTCGTACTGCCCGTTTTTTCCTCTGTAACATTTCTTGAACATTTAAGCTGACTTTTTCTTGGGCGGTTTTTGCCTTGGTGATAGCTATTCCATTTTTCTGGTGGCTTTCCTGCTTCTTTTGTTCTAAATGATATTCATCAATATCATAAAGTGTTTTGAGCTTTATACCGGTTCTGTGTATCGTAAAAAACTCTCTTCTTGCATTCTTCTCCAACAGCAGCTGTGGTTTGGTAATGACTGGTTTTTGCTGAGTAGTAGAAAGTGGTTGTGTAGATGTAGGAAAAGAAGCTTGTTCTTTCTTTTTCAATACTGCAGACTTCAATGAATCTGAAGAATGTATGGGGAGTTTGAATACGGATATCCTAAAACTGGCATGCAATTCTTCATCCTCAGTTTCACCTTCAGACTCCTGACCTACATCAGAAAGCAGACAAATATAATGCATGATATAAGTGTTAACCACAGCTTATTTTCTGTCTCAATTGTCTTGAAAGATACATTAATAAAATTCACAAGAACCTATTATTTATTTATATTAAGAAGTATTTTTCCAAACTAATGTTCCTTTTCAATTTGTGAGTCAATAGTGATTTTAGAAAGAAAATCACTGTTGAAACGTTTTAACACAGAAATGCACTGATTCCTGTGTTTCCTGCATTATCTTTTTCAATTATTTAACTTGCACTGACTCAATAGCAATATCTTATACTTAATCATACATATTATTTTTACATATAGTTATCTCATATTTGCAAAGAACTCTCTATCTGTTTTACCTTGTTTTTCTTAACTCTGATAGAGACTAATAGCTGCCAATAATGTTTTTTTCTTCATGGGACACACAAAGGGAACAAATTTCTCAGCTTCCTTTGCTATTATTGTGACCATGAGACCAAGCGCCCTCCAATAGAGGGTGGCAGAAGTAATATATATCATTTCTGGTCCACGGATATTTAGAAACAGATGTGCCTCCTCCTTCTTTATTCTTCTGATCCTCCGCACAAAGATAAGGTCCTCAAAGATGGTAGTTACACAAGGTGGGAGGACCCTGGCTCCCTGAATCATTGCTTGAAAAACTACTCACTGATAAGGATTATCTAGCTCACACTCTATGGAAACCAGAAATAAATGACAATTATGTGTGAGTCAATAAAAATTTCTGGGTCTATCTGTAGCATAGCAAACCTAACTAATGTAATATTTTCTGACAAGCCTACTGATGAATTTAGTGGAAAATACTGGTTAAAAAGTTCTATTGATGAATCTTAGGAACAGATGTTTTCACGTTCGACTCTATTAAAATTACATCTTGCTAATTATACTCTATAAGTATTTTATCTTTTCTAATAGAAGATTCTTGTAAAATCTTTATATATAAAATCTGATGGTGGAGGTTTTATGAAAGTTAAGGTTGCCATGAAGAATGGCAGGGCCTGTGGTCTGGGCAGGAAGTGGGAAAAAAGAGAACAGGTAAGATTTTCAATAGAGGCCACAGGAATGTCAACATTAGAAAAAGAAGCAGTGTTTAGAGCTAAATAGAGAACCAAGTCTTAGCAAGTAAAAAAGGATATAAAGCTAAAGTATCCACAAATAAGTGTTAAGAGTTTGGGCCCAAGCCAGGCTGGTGTGGCTCAGTGGTTGAGCATTGACTCATGAACCAAGAGGTCACTGGTCCCTGGTCAGGGCACATGCTTGGGTTATGGGCTCGATCCCTAGTAGAGGTGTGCAGGAGGCAGCCAATCGATGATCACTGATGTTTTTATCTCTCCCCCCCTCTCCCTTTCTCTCTCTCTAAAATCAATAAAAGCATGTTAAAAAGAGTTTGGGCCCAAAGCAAATCACTAGAGACACAGAGGAACAAAGCCAGAGTTTCAGATCTATAATAAATAGGGTGTGGTCTGGAGCAATTATCTAGAAATAGCACTGTTTAGTGTAATTTGATTTTAAATGTGAACTTTGGCATGGAAAAGCTTGCTAAGAGTAAAAGATCAAGTATAGAAAATACAATAGTAATAAGTTACTAAAGGTTCTGGTCACCAAATACAATTTGTGTAGGGTGGGATGGTTTTCCCACAAAAGCATGCAGTGCTCTGAATCCAGCTGGGTGTCTTAGAATTCAACTCAATTCTGACAATATCAACTTGGAGATATGGTCAGACACTACAGGTTAAGGGATTCAGTCCTACAAGACTGTGCACCCTGCTTTAGGTGCCAATTGCAAGTCCAGGTTATGATGATCAATCAACTATAGATTGGCAGTTCTATTGACCCCCTTCTTGGGTTCAATTAATTTGTTAGAGTAGCTCACAAAACTCAAACATTTTAGTTATTATATTTCTGGTTTATTATAAAGAAATATATATATATATATTAGAAGCCTGGTGCACAAAATACGTGCACTTGGTGTGTGGGGGGCGGGGCTTAGCCTGGCTTGTGCCCTCTCACAGTCTAGGACCCTTGGGGGATGTCTGACTGTAGGACATCCTTAGCACTGCTGTGGAGGTGGGAGAGGCTCCCACCACCACCACTATACTTGGCAGCTGTCAGCCTGGCTTGTGGCTGAGCAGAGCTCCCCCTGTGGGAGCACACTGACCACCAGGGGGCAGCTCTTGCATCGAGCATCTGCCCCCTGGTGGTCAGTGTGTGTCATAGTGACCAGTCATTCCCAGTCATTCTGCTGTAAGGGTCAATTTTCATATTATCCTTTTATTATATGGGAATGCCTGACCAGCCTGGGTGAGTGGCTGATGGCTGTTTGCAGGCTGGCCACAGCTGCTTCAGTGTGAGGGTCCCCACTGGGGTGCCTGGCCAGCCTGGGTGAGGGGCTGAGGGCCATTTTAAGGCTGGCCACAGCCCCTTCAGTGTGGGGGTCCCCACTGGAGTGCCTGACCAGCCTGGGTGAGTGGCTGATGGCTGTTTTCAGGCTGGCCACAGACCCTTCAGAGTGGGGGGTCCTGCTGGGGTGCCTGGCCAGTCTGGGTGAGGGGCTGAGGGCCGTTTTCAGGATGGCTCAGCCCCACAGCGGGGACCCTCACCCCATGAGGGTGTGGCCAGCCTGGGTGAGTGGCTGATGGCTATTTGCAGGCTGGCCAAGGCCCCCAGCCACCCAAGCTCCCAGTGGAGACTGGTTGGAAGCAGGTATCTGGGATTTATTTGTCTTCTATAATTGAACCTTTGTTGCCATGAGTAGGTGGCCAGCCTGGGTGAGTGGCTGATGGCTATTTGCAGGCTGGCCAAGGCCCCCAGCCACCCAAGCTCCCAGTGGAGACTGGTTGGAAGCAGGTATCTGGGATTTATTTGTCTTCTATAATTGAAACTTTGTTGCCATGAGCAGAGGCCACAGCTGGCTCAGGGCAGGCAGGAAGCTTGGCTTCCTCCATCGCTTGGGCAACCAAGCCTCCTGCTTGCTCCAGCTCCGTGGCTGCCAGCCGCCATCTTGGTTGGGTTAATTTGCATATAGTCGCTCTGATTGGCTGGTGGGTGTGGCTTAGGGTGTAGTGAAGGTATGGTCAATTAGCATCTTTGTCTTTT